AAGATAAAACGACCTCCTCCTTACGATAGTAGTACACCAAATCGTAAGATTCCAGCGAACCACAATTATGTTGAACTCTCTCAGACTCACGTAATCTCTAAATATGATATTTTTATGAACTTGTATGACTCAACTTATTTGAGTTCTTATTTTATGCCCAACTACAATTATCATGGTTGATCGACGCTTATCTTCTAGGTTACAACGACCTCCTTACGGTAGTAGCACGTCAAAGGTTCCAGTGGACCACAATTGTGTTAAACTCTCTCATACTCACTTAATCTCTAAGTATAATATGGCTCATATGAAACTTACATGACTCAACCTATTAATTTTACCTATGACTCAATAGGATAAGGTGACTCCTTAGATAGTTGTATCTTTTCTTCAATCGAACAATCACAACTTTATTCATGAATAGTCCTAACTCATCAAATATAATTTCTATTAACACAAAATAAAATTTCTTTAATTAAAATTTCCAACAGATCTTTGATAATGGAGTCACGTCCCAATCAAGGATGTGCCTCAAAATATTGTTAGGGTCCTTGATTGATTCATGGGAGACATGAATTTCTAACAAGAACTCTGCTTTTCAGGAAAGAGGGAAACATGCTCCAAAATATACTTTTATAAATCCTTTGACAAAATGTTGGCTATGAGTAATGAGAAAGGTGTTCTAATCATATTACGAGAATCATATGGACTTGAGAACTCATATTATGGCTTGATATGAATTATGTACCCCAAAAATGTAAATAAGTATTGGTAAAAATGTCCCAATAAATTTTGGGAAGTATTTTAACCGAAAGCATTTGGTCAAGTTGATTTTGAGTTTCAAAAGTACTTTAAGTGATTTAAAAAAAAAAAAAAATTAGATATGTGCTAGGAAATATTTAAAGTGTTTTTTCATGATCCCATTTACACTAAAAATGCTTCAGTCATTATAAAATCACTTTCAAACGAGCCCTTTATTATCAATGTATTCTCATGTAACAAGTAACATGCAAACAACAAACAAAACAGATTTTGATGCCTAAATCCACTTTAGTGATACCCAAGATACTTCATTATAGTAATGAAAAACACCTCCGGTTAATAAGAAGAGAAACTTTATTTGAACCCATATAATCTCTTTCTACATCTAACTTACTCTCTACACCCATATTATTTTTAATTAAAGAATTAATATCTCTTTAAACTCAAACTTACTATCTAAACAACCCCATTTCAAAATGTATATTTATCTTTACACCCACTTAGAAAATAAACCCCAAATTGAATAACTCGGTGAAGTTTCTACTTTTTTTTTTTTTTTTTTTGAACAGAGACGATATTGAATTTCATTCAACTTCACAAACAGTTACAAAGGTGGCCAATTGGGTACATAAACTTCAATGACCAATAAATTGATATGAAGTGAATTTGCGCAGTAAAACAAATAATAGTAAACCCCCTAAACGGCTACCACAATCACTGTCCTAACCCACAAACCATCATCAATACAAATTTGTTGCAAACACATGCAATATACTTATATCGACAACCACATAGGTCATCGCATTTATGTGAGGCCACCAAAAATCATCGCTGAGCGAGACCACAAAAAGATCATCATTAAAAATGAGACCACTAACCTAACGCAAAAAGTGAAGACAACATCAACCATCGCAAGCATACGACCACCACATACATAGGGTGAATAAACTAAACTAAAATACATTAAAATAAATCTGACATGTCCAGTGGAGAAACAGGTGCAGAATTGGCAGGAGATAGTGGAGTAGATTCATGTGCAGAGATGACAGAGGTGTGGGACACCCACTGAAGGTGGGGTGATATCCAAGGCACCAAAGACCGTCAACCGCCGCCCGTTGTGGGTTGTAACTGAAGGAAGATTACGATGACCGACAAGGATGGTAAAGGGAACCATCCACCCCGCTACACCACCAAAACGAACCCAAATAGACTGAAACGATATTTCCAAGGCCAAAGCCCTCAGGGAGCCCAAAACACCCGGAGCAACGGTTCTACACATCAAACTGAGAGCAAGTAGGAAACCACTGTCGGGAACACCCAAAATTGACAACACCCAGGACAAGAGCACGACAGATCCGAAAGCTCACCACATCAAAGCGAGGGAGGGACCTAACGAAACATGTTACCGGAACATCGCTACACCAACCTTGGCAGCCACCAAAATCACAAAATGGCAGAGCTATCCAAGGGAACACTGGAGGAACCCCTGGGACAAAGCCCACTCGTGGGACTTTGGAAAACCGTGGAATGAGAGGGAAGGGAGAGGAGGCCCGGATGAAGGCGAGTGAGAAGAGAAACCAGGGGGGAGCAGGGAGGGAGAAAACGCAGGAAAAGAGGCACTACGGGGGTGGGGGGGGGGAGGGAGGGAGAAGCTGGGAAAAACTAGAGGAAAGACAGGGATGGTGAATGGGTGGTGGAAAGTTGGGAAAGGCAGGGACGGGGAAGGGGGTGGGCGTAAAAGACCATAATGGGGGTACGACGAGGTATTGGAGAGAGGGGTGGAAGGGGGGGGGGTGGAGAGGAAAGAGGGGACGGGGAAAAGGGAGGAAAGCTAGGAGATAAAAATGAGGAGGAGAGGCGGCCACCGACCCCCAGCCTTAGCCAGAGGCCAGCGGCCATGGAGGAAGGGGAAGTTAGTTGCTCTGGAGGAAAAGGTTTCTAGAGATAGGCTCTCTGGTGAAGCTTCTACTTGTTTATGGGAATGAAAGTTTTATAAAGTTTGATTTTGTGAACATGTTGAATAATTTGATGAAGTTTGTACTTGTAAATGACTCTTCTTTATTCTTGGGTCTCACATAACTTGAAAAATATGGCCTATACTGTGAATTGTACGTGTAATCCTTTTGATTAGCATCATCTACCATACTAGGAGAAACAATAGGGACATTGGAAATGACGGGCATCAGATAATACCTAGGATTAGTATTTTGTTGACTCGTTGTAGCTTTTCTCGCTATGCACCTCAAATTGAGAGCAGCCGAGTTGTTTTACGCAAAATCAAGAGGTAAATACAGACATTTATACACAACTGAAGTTAGTATTTTTAAGTGGAAACTACATATGCATATTCCCAAACAAATAATAAACAATATCAAGAAATTATGCAATCCAAAACTGTTGTAGCTACTTTCAATACAAGGTTGAAGAAACTCTTCGGTTTTAGTAGTCTCATAGCGTCGAATTATCGTGTTAAGGGCAACATTAGTTCGATTCCAAAGGTTTTTAAGGTCCATGGATTCTGCCAATAAAACAACATAAATTGCAAAGCACAATGCTTCAAATGAACCAAATAAGAAAAATCCAGCACTATACAAAACTATGTTCTCCTACTAAGAAAATGCAGAAAGTAGAAAGACAAAAAAAAAACTTTTAACCCCAACCTAATTAGCTATCAATTAGGGTTGTGAATGAGATCCAGAGCTCTGCTACTAATAAGAACAAAGAATGGCAAGAGAAACTCCCTATCGTTGTTCTCAAAGATGAAGAAATCATGTACCCCAAAGCTAATTCGGCGCCAATTCAATTAGGGAACAAGCTCCAAAATTATTCGGTGTGGGTTTATTGATAAATTTTATTTTTATTATTAATTTTATTTTGTATTTAATGGTAATTATGCAATATGTTAAAAAAGATAATTCACATTTAAATTTTAAGTTGGACGTAGAAAGAGGTTGTATGTGTTCAAATAAAATTTTCCTTACAAGAATTCTTGTTCACTATACCCCAGCCCCTAGGTATGTCTTATCTTTTACCCAGTTCACAGAGGCCTCACTTGACACACCATATAAAGTACCGGATAGAATTAATAGTACGAAGTCAATTGTTTGGTGACGTTTCGTATTAAATAGCCTGCCGACTAATTAATTATTCGGACTCACTTATTTTATCCGGTCTATATACCTGCTAACTAGTACACTCCAAAACGGAAGGATAATTAGTCGATTTCGTCTCTCTTCGTTCCTCGTTCTTCTTCCTCCAACCCAGGTCTTTCCTTCTACCCAACCAACCATGGCAGCAATCGGAGTGATTCCGGCAGTCATTCCAAAGCCAATTGCCGCCGACCCTAGTCTCTATCTTTCTCTATTTTCCGTTCAGATCTTCGCGAGCAAAGACTATCCAGAATGTTTAGGGAGAAATCAAAGAGATTACCCAGTGCAAAGCAATCCTTCTCTTTTTCCTTCCATATTCTCACCCGTCATCTATTTCTTTTTTCTAATTTCTACAACAGAATAAAAACCAGAAGCAAAACAGAAAGCCATACCCTGCCTGCGCAATTATTTCTATTTATTTAGTTCAATTTTTTTGAAAGTTCAAAATCCTTGTTCAATTGCATAATACCCATTTTCAATTAGTGGGCAAGAGGGTAAGATTTGTATGGGAGGATGAGATTTGATGCGTAGTGAGGAAGATGGTGAAGAAGGGAAGTCGAGAGAAATCTGGGTTTTGTCTTCTTTTTTCGCTTTTTTATTTGGTCTGTGCTATGATTAATTCTTTTTGTTCAGTTTTTCCTTAATTTATTTTTTTTTCATTTTAACATCAATTATTAAGTGAAAAATTATTATAGTCTGACGTACTATTCGATGTTTAAATTAATTCGACGCTACCTCAAACGTTTGATTATTAGTTAATACTATCCGATTCACAGATTAATCAATCCACCTAAAATAATCAGTATAATCCGACGTGCCAAACGAGACCAAAGTGTTTTTCCATGTCTTGTGGTACATAAAATAAAGACACTTATCATAAAAAATTGTACAATGTCTGAGTAATTGAGCTTGTACATCCATGTACAATGGCCTAACCAATATGCAAAAAAGATTAAGAGTTCGTTTAGAAACACTTTTAAAATGATTAAAAACATTTTTAAATAAAATATTTATAAATTTCAAAAACACTTATGTATTTTCTGTAAGAAGCATTTTAAATGTTTTTTAAGATTTATTTGTATTTTTATTAAAACTTGATTCAAATAATATTTTCACAAAAAAAATTTCAACTATGATAAATACAGTTCCAAATATATTCCCATATTGCGTTGTTGGCAGAAGTTAATTAAATATGTGTGGCAAATAATGTCAATAAAATACTGCTATCATGTTAAGGTGTTTGACGTGTACTGAAAAAAAATATATTTTTTGGTGTTTTAATATAAACGGATACTAGCCACTTAGTATTGCGTCGTTAGGTTGGAACCGGGAGGGCGAATTTGATATCAAATTATATTATTTATTATCTTTATTAATTAATAAAACATTCATTGTCAACTAAAATTATATGAAATAACCAGTTTAACCTTCTAATTAAAACAGAACATGAATAAGAAATATAAGTCAGAAATGTAATTTCACACAATCAAATTTTACTTTTTTTTTCTTCAAAGTCTTGCCTATATGTAATTCTAACAAAATCTTACCTATATATCTCTAATTAAAAAAAAAAAAAAAAAAAAAAAAAAACTGCTCACTCCCACCGTCTCTATCACTTTCTTCATCTCTCATTCTATTTCAAAAACAAAAATAAAAAATTTTCTCACACACTTTGTGTGTGCCCATATGCTAGTATGGTTTAGTAGAATTCTCTATTCTGGTAGCGTAACATATATGATTGTACTAAAAAAAAGAATATAAACGGACACTAACGTCAGATTTGACGCCGTCAGCAACAGGAGGGAAACTCCAAATTGTTCAAACAAAATTCTCAAATCTCTTAACTTTGCCTCATTTTCCCACCAGATTCTCTCTCCTCCCACTCTCTCTCTCTGCATCTTCGGTTTGCCCTACTCTCTGGAACTCGAAATTTTTCGGGGCAAATCGATCGACACGCCGGATTGATTAATCCCGTCCGTCGCTACGCTGCACTGAGATTTCATCGGCTGCCAATGGCTTTGCCTTGAAAATCTCTCCTTCGCTGAGGTTAGACATTATTCTACCAATCTTCAGATTACAAAATTTCAAGATTTTGACGCAATTAATTTATTTTTGGGTAATTTTACTCAGTAGTTGATTAGGATTCATATCGTATTCGATGGTAATCAAGATCAACTGCTAGATAGGTGAAAGAATTGCAAAAGTGATTTCTTTTTCCTTGGAATTGAGGGTTAGCTAGCTGGGAATTTGAATGGTTTTATTTTACTCATGAATATTGAATCGATTCTCGAACCGTATGTAGGAACTCGAACTGTAAGTAAAAGGTCTGCTGTTAGTAGTGTTTGAGACTAACGTATGGCGATGGTTGCTCCACCCGGTTCTCTGCCTCCCACTTCTCTGAAGATTGGTGGTGGGACTTCAACAGTCAAGAGAAAGACACCATCTCAACTGAGAGTAAGTTGTTGAACTCATGGTTTTGCTTCTGTCCGGACTCTGGTCTTCTTATTTTTAGCACTTTTGGAGATAGCAGAAATTTATTTAATTGCCTGATTTTAATTCTTGTCGTTGCATTGTCTGGATAAATTTTTCAACTTTTTTTGGCTTTTATCTGGATACATTTTTTCAACTTTTGGCTGGATATGTAGAGATGCCATCATTGTATCGTCGATCTTCTTATTATTTGGTTATTTTGTTAAACATTTCTAATCAATCTGAAAACAGTTTAAGAGGATCTCTCCTCCTAGGACCCTGTGTTAAGTGGGATTGGCACTGCCGCACTGGGTCATGCGTGTTTTTAAGGCCTAGTGCTACATCTACTTTTTACAAAGCAACACTGATGTACAACTAAGTGCTCTTACACACACAGATTTTAACTGAAGTGGATTTTCAAAAGCTTGGCATATAATTTGACAGGCTATATTAGTAAGAAGGTTCTGATTTATAATGCATGCTTGACAGGGAGAGCAGCGGATGAATGCTGCGGAGATAAGTGATGAATCTCCAGCTCCTTTGCTTGGTTCTACAAAGTAAGATTTCCTTACTTCTTTTCAGGTTTTTTATTGTTGAAAGTCACCGACTTATTTTCTTTCTGCAACATTAGTGAAGCGGAAAATGGGCAAAAGAAACAAGAACTGTCAAGGAATCCTAGATACATTGACATTCGTATGGATGAAGTTTACCCTGCAAAAAAATCTAGGTTCAAGATAGTCCCTGGAAAAGAGAATGCTAAGGTTTGCACATAATCTTAAATAGATGTTCTATTTATTTTTCTTGAAAACTGTTTCCCTCTTATTTTACTACTCAATTTTAAATGTGGTTGGTATTGTGCAAAAATACCCTAATATTGTGTTCAGGAAATTAATTCAATGGAGAAACCTAGCAGTGTGAAGAATCTTTCTTTGCTTTCTAATTTGGCTTCCAAGAGGAAACACCAATTTTCTGGGTATGCCTTTATTCCAATATTATCTGGTTTATGAAAAACAGGCACATTCTTATTTTCTCATCAATTCCATCTTTCTTTTCCGGGAAGTCCCCAAAATGTAGATTCTGCTGAACATACTGAAGAAGGCGCGGCAAAAGTTTTTCGAACTATTGAAAAGTGTAGTCAAACTACTTTCCGTAGTGTTACTGAGCTTTCATCAGGCGGTGACAGATTATCAGACTTTGCAGCTGTCGATGTGGTATACTTAGTAGCCTTTCCTTTTATCTACATAGTTAAAAGAATCTGTTATTAACAGTTTTATGCTAATTTTAACAGGATAAAGCGTTAAAAGGAATAGATGCCCAGGAATCAATAATTGGCTCATCTGCTTATATTTCTGAAAGAAGTGGCAATCCTACATCACCTGGTTTCAGCGACTTTTGCTTGCCTGATGGAAAGGTTCCTCTGGATTTTACTTTGAAAAGTAGTATGCGGGTGGTGTCCTCTTCCCCAGTGAATTGGTAAGTGTACAACTGCTATAAAATCTGTTTAGTTTTCATTTCTGTTATTTAGTCTTGAGTTTGTATCTCCGTGGTTGATTACAAAGTTTTGTATTCTTTTAGAATTGCTAGTAAAATGTGTTTATTAAAAAGACAGTTAGTTTAGTTTCCAGTGCTTAAGACAGGACGTTCACTACTTTTTCATTCCTTTTGATTTGTTATTCTCTCCCAATGCTTGGTTAAATTCTTTAGGTGCATGCATAAGACACTGAACTAAGATGACCCGTAGTGTATGTTCACTTGTTTTGTCATGATCATGTTTATAAGTTTTCAACCTAATCAGGTATCTTCAGTCTATTTCACTTTAATAATATTGAAGATGGGGTGCAAATATGTGACATTTTACTTCAACATTATTGAAGACAGTCTGGAAAGTGTTAGAAAAATGAATTTTTAGCATATAAGACATTGGCCACTGCTGATGTCTTGGTCTAATCATCAAATTATGCTTATGGATGGTTCATGTACAAATATTATATTAAAAGAATTGCCCAGATTCAAGTATCATATGGATTCAAGCCATACATTAATTTTTATTAGTAAATAAATGATTAAAAAAAAAAAGGTAGTGCAAACATGAGGAAACTGCCCATATCATTTATCTTTAGAGTTTAAATTCACCAACATACTATGCTCCTGCCACACCCATACTCTGCTAATGTTGTGGTTACTTCTATTCGTTTTGATTGGTTACGGTTGGCAGGATGTTGGTAATTGATTATTCAGGTTATGTTGTTTTCACATTTTTAGGATTCATAGGACAATAGCGTGCGGTGCCTACACTAATATGCCGAATCTCAAGTTCCAATCCGATCATTATCTGGATCAAAATATGAGCCGTGGCTCAGGGTTCATACCTAATTCCCAAGTCATTAGTTCTAAACAATTATATTCGTGGGTTTACCCTCAATCTACCTTACCGCCTTCTCTCATACAAGTTTTGACATCATCAACAGCTGAGGGAGGTGCGCTACATAAGCTTTTAGTATAATGTTATTCCCAATGTATCTTTTTCCTGAAATGTTTTCATCAATCATTTTCCCTTTTGCAGTGGAAACAGAATTCTTGAGAAAACGACAGGTAGCATGGGATGACTCATTTCAGAGTCTATACTACATGCTTCGTAATGGTACCTGTGATATCTTTTATGGTAATTACTCTTGCCTGTATATTATGTTTTTTCAAGCCACTTTCACTTATGTTTTGACTATATATGTACTACTTTTTGGATGAATTACTATCATTGATTGTAAGTTGTTTCTCTCTCCTGAGGTACCCATCCTTCTTGGAGTGGGGATACATATGTATTCTGTCTTATTCAATCTACAAAGGTTGATTTCTCCCTCTGTGTTATGGTAGTGTTTGCATGATGACACTTGTAATTAGAATTATAACCATCAAACAGAAAACAATTTTATATTTGTTTTATTATTATTATTTTTTATATTTCAGCTTACCATTCATATCAAGAAGGCATAAACTTCCCTTTCCGGAGTCTTGTGCTCCATCCCAATATCTTTGAACCAATTAGATTCCTATTTTATTTTCCACATGGACGCCACACTGATTGCTGTTTACATGTACAATTCTTCTAGTGTGTACTCCATATTTTGTGGTAATGTTCACGGCTTGTACTGTCTCTGTGGGCTCAAAACGCATCAGCAATGCTTATATCTCCCAGTCAACAAGAGCCATACGATCATTGTTAAGAGAGCATGTAAGTTTTACTTGTAGTACTTCTCAAAACTTCTGTTTTTTTTTTCTGTAATTTGTACTTTTATTGTAATGCTTACTGCATTTACAGAAAGAAGTCTTGTTTAGATGTAATCTATGTCATTTTTCATTTGAACATTTTTCTCTTGCATTTAGATATTCACTAAGTTACTAGATGAAAGTCATAAATCATTGAACTGAATAAATTAACTAGGGTTCCAATCCAATTTATGGCTTCTACCTTTTCCTCATACAAAGTCTTTGAAAATGTATATAACACTTGAGCTGCAAGCTTTTGCTCTTGGTTCAATATTGCTTTTCATACACAATTATGGACCATGGCTAATTTCTGAAGGTTAAGCCTTGTCTGTGTAGTGTGCTTTTATATCGGGATGGACCTTGTACTGCCATTTTGTCTATCATTTCTGACATTTTTTCACTTGACAATATTGCCATTAGGATGTTTCTTTCTCTATGCCTCTTTGCTGTTCTAAAGTAGAGCAAGTCACTCCAGATGTTCTTGTTGAGCTCTCAGAGATGGAGAAACAGAATTTTGGCCAGGTTAATATCTGTTGTTCTTCCCATTTGCAGTTTGTACTAGTTTTTCTTATCTGATTGTAGGCATGGTGAGGGTCGTGGAATACCTTTACCTGCCTTTTGTGGGATTTGATGGCGAATAAGACTTGGTGCTATATTGTTCTACTGATCTGGGTATACTGGGCAGCAGTTTCTGTTTTTATCCACCATTTGATAGTTAAAACTTTGGGTAGTTTAAGAGAAAAAGGAAAGAAAAGTTATGTCAGTCTTATACTCGACAATGTGATTTGTATCATTCCAACTATTATTATTAGACAATGTGATTTGTATCATTCATCTCAAACTCTTCTTCTTCTTTAAAAGATATTGCTGGAAGGATGGTTTTGCATCTCAGACCATTTGCATCCGTCATGTGTGTATTTGGTTTACTCATGCCATTTTCAGGTCTTGCCTTACAAGTTTCAAATATCACATTTTTGCTCCACTTATTTGTGCCCCCATTTAAAATTGTTGCAGACACGGCGCTTGAGTTCCTCTTCTGATATAGATAATACCCCAGAATCATTGCTAGTTTTCAATGGCAATAAAGATGTACATGGAGTGTTCGATATTTTGTTAAATTATAGGTATGTTAAACTTACTTTTCAATTCCATGTCATCTGGCTAAATTGATTAAATATGTATTTTGGATCCTTATCATCTCTACCTTGCTTCTGGTTTCATGTTAAGGTCGTTGTTGACTGCTTTAGTGGTAATGGATGTCCCTGTATTATATTCACCTGTGCCATTTCAGAATGCTGCCATTTCTTCTCCAGAGGTGAGTGCGAAAAATGTTTGGGGTTCCTTAGCACCATTAATTGTTGTGCCAGGGACTGTACCTAGACAACAGAGTCAGCATGTCTTGTTACCAAAAACCTGAATTCTACGTCTGTTTGAGAATGTGCTTTTGGTTGGAGCTTCGTGCTTGCGAGTGCTATTATAACGTATTAGAGTGAAGTCCTGATTTAAAGCGCATCACAGATAGTGACTCATTGGCCCTATGTTTTAACCTAATATAGTTCCCAGACTTATGGAGAGAACAATTTCCCGCTCCCCCCTTCCATTTGTTCTGAATGTGCCTACTTGCCTTCATTACGCTGCAATGTTCTCAGAAATACTAATGGAACTTTTTACTGTACCCTTTTTCCAGATTAAATGCACGGAATTGAAAAGAGCAGACCATATTGTTGCTCCCAAAATGACCACCACAAAAGATGATGGATCCATGCAAGGCTCATCCGCTGGTCTCTGCTCGAGTGTTGATATTAAGGATGCATATCTTCCACCGTGGATTATTTGCAGCCTATGTGCCCTTTTGGGTTCTGAAGGGAGAAGCTTTGAGGCGAGGTAAACATTAACGTGATTCAAGTTTTATATGAACCTGTATGCATTAATGCTCAGAGTTCGTTAGGTTTATCTATGATTTAGTGTGCACCAAGTTCCGTAAGTAGATGAATACCCACAAATTTAAGGCCAAGTGAAACGATGGATTTCGCTATAACCTTTGGATGCCATGCTGTACTGAGCCTATCTCCAATCTGGAGTTTGTTACAGCTTGCACTACGCTAGTCTGCATTCAGTTGGCATTATCACGCTAATCCAATATTGATCTTAACTAGTTCTTTTATTTGATTTGACCTGCTTCCAGCTTTATGAATGAACCTTCATCAATCGGGTTGAATTTTGCTGTAGAAGCAGTTCCTGAGAAATCTGATCGTCCTGATGCGCCAGCTGAAGACTTGCACAAAAGCTCCTCTACTTTTGGTATTCCAGAAGCCATCGTTACGCCTCACTTGCATTTGGGTTTCTTGAAAACTTTGAAGTTCTCAAATGGTTGTTATTCAGCTTCCCTTTCTCCTACCTTAGAAGCCGACTAGAAATACAGTCGTATATTTTCGCCACGGTGATGGTTGATATCATTCTTTGATCCTAACTTAATTTCTCTGTACTTTAATTTGGTACACCATCTAATTTTGAATCAATCTGTAAGATTTGTTTTACCAGTTTAATACCGAATGGTTTTATTGACAAAACTTATGAGAAATCTGCCAACTATTTGGATGTTTTCCTAGTTATTCTCCCTGTGGAGGTATAAAACGCCTAAATAAAATGTCCAGTTTCTCCCTGTGAATGGTTGAGACTGACTATAACAGAGTTAACGTGCGAGTGGAAATACCGAAATGCTCCTCAAAGAGCTGGCCAAATCCCCATTTGGGATACTTTTGAGGACTTACACGGCACAGGTAATCCCCCATTTGGGATACTTCTGAGGACTTACACGGCACAGGTACATCCGCGCTATGACATTTTGTGCCAACTTCACAAAGACATGTAAGTTTCTCCATATGATGTATCGATGGCGCAGGTGCGTCACCACGGTGACATGTAAGTTATTTCTCGATGGCGCCTTGGCAGTATCCAGCTTTCATTATGTTGAACTGACTTTATTCAAGTACATGTTCATGAGTTTCCTAAAGTTATGGCCAAGCAAGTTCCTAGTGAATTTGACATTTGAAAATTGGGAACAATAAAAAGGTACAAGCTCATACGGTCAACGAATGAAATACAACAATGTCAAACCAATAAAATTAGTGTCAAAATTGTTCTTTTCTGTTTTCTTCTTCTGGAGGAAGGACTAGTTGCATTTTCTGTATTTGTGGTCTCTTTCGTCTAGAAAGAGAACTTGAAAGCACCGGCCTGTGAATCCATAACTGAATCCCAGAAGGATGGTTTTTTCTGCTGGGCATTCTTCTCCTCTGCTTTCAGAGTCAGGAGATCGATAGTTCCGGGAAAAGAAGCCTCAATGGCATTTTTAAACTTGTCATACAAATTCACTCGATCTCTGGTTCCGGATACCAGAGTGCTGGCATTTGGCCTCTTAAGAAAATCCAAGACGTTCAACAAATTTCTCCTGCAAATACAAAAAAAGCCAGGTAACTAACGGCAAACCACCCTTTTCTGTTCCAAAACAGTGGATATTATGAATGGTCAGTGCAATGCATACCCTTATCCTGCCAATACGAAGTTAAGAAATACAACCTGAACTGTTTTATGTGTTATTTGGGTTCTTTTTGGAGTTCCATTTTCATCTGAAGCTACATATAGCTGTAAGAATCTTTGCACACGTTGACATAGTTTTCCTGTCAACATGATGTATCTATTTGCTAAAACAATTCTGCTTTCTCCCATATGCTTGAATTCAAATACATATTTGTCATAAGCCACACGATACGCCTGTTCCACATCGTTATATTCCATAGTGAGCTAATTGCTCAGAAGTACAAAACATTAGGGCAGGAGTAACTAAAAAGTTTTACTTTCTTAGAAATGTGGGATCAAGAATATACACAACCCTTATGATTCACTAACTTCATCTCCGTCACGCCTATTAGACATCTCTCAGTTTCGTAATAGTTTTAACAGATTTAACTTGACCGATGAAGCCTCTACTTCAAGCATCTTTATGTAAACTAAATCTATTTGCTTTCTTATCAACACAGCAGAAAGATATCAAATACCCCTCCTTGAAAAGAATGTTCTTCAAATTGCATGGTTAAAGTAACTCCAAAGGACAAAAATTCGGTAATCACACAACGGGAAAAACAAGGAATCAAACAACCAACATTCAGGACTACTTAAAAGTATTATACTTTTGTACCCCTAGGACTACGGCCATGATTGAAGCATCTACGAATTTCTCATCAGAGCCTAGGGCTGAGGCAATTTAGGGTATATCATTTACTGCTTCTTAAATCACTCAATGAGAAATATCACAATTGAATGCTTAAAATTTCACCTAATAATCCCCTAAATTCACAGGGTTTCCACGTGGCCTTCGAAAAATGGTGTTATGTAATCTGTTCTTTTAATACATAGTACGAGCAGAGAGTTCACCATTATAACAAGAAAAACAACAAAAAGTTATAGACTATGAACCATAAGTTATATAAGAACAATACCTGCTAACATAATTCTGTGTAATGGCAATTGATTCCTCCAAGTTAATCACCAGATGCCACCATCCACGAGGTACAAAAATCACTTCCCCAGCCTTACAAATGCATTCAATGGGTTTCTTCTTCCAAGTCTTTGTTGCACCATAGAAGTTCATGAACCATTCAATTATTGAAACAGGACATGCCACCTCAGCTCCATCTGGACTGGGATGCACCCCGGGAGGAACCACATCAGGAGGAAACAACACCCACTTCTTTGACCCCGTGATCACTGCATTCCAAGCAGAAGTCGAATTAGGATCAATGTGGAATGATGAACCTGACCCAGCTGGTCCAATTATTATCCATCTATAATCTGGCCTCTCATTGCCCAAAACACCAAATAAGTCCTCCCTAAAGTACACCGGAACTTCGTATTCAGAACCCAAAGTTGCAACTTTTTCTCCGAATTTTGGGTCAAATAAATACAGCGGCCTCTCTTCCCTCGCCTGATCAGCATACCGAAAATAGTCCCCAAGCTTCATCAGCACTGGCCCAACCAAAAATTGAACATCACTACACAATTGAACTAAATAATCCCTATCCCATTTCGCCAATGCAACCCAGTTATCCATACACCCTTCCAACAGCACCGGCTTATTCGGTTCCTCAAAATCCGAAATGAACTCCTCAACCGAAATGCCCCTTCTCCTGATTATATTATCCCTTTCAAGCCACTCGGGTTTCATCTCAAGATTGGCACAAAGCCAGCTCTGGAAGAGATAGTCAGAATAAAAGTCCCTAACTCTCAAACCCGAAGCACGGATTCTTGAAACATCAAACGAAGGGCAATGAGCAGCAATGTAAGTAGATTTCCAAGACCCATTATACAAAAGCCTACCCTTTAGATCATCCAACACAAGGTTCCTCCAGAGGGGCTCATGATTTGCAAAAACATAAAAAGATCTGCTCACAGTGGCCAAAACCCCCAAGTGGGTCCCACCCAAAAGCCCCAAAATCTCAAGAACAAGCTCATCTGTTAGGGTTTGGAGATTACCTAATCCAGTGTTCCTTGAGTTGACAGAACCTGGGCTGAGGTAGAGATTGCCCAGTGGCTGAACTCCATGGGAGCTCGATGGAGCTGAGGCCTTGAGATTGAAACCTTCTTCAAAATCTTCATCTTCTTCTTCTTCCTCTAATTCTTGGTAGTTTTTGGAAATGGGGTTTTGTTTTGTGGATACAGATTTGGTTGTTTTCTTCTTTTTGGATTTGGTTTTGGTTTTCTTCTTCTTCCTGATGGATCTGGTCCTTTGGGACAATAGGGTTTTGCAGCTAAGCATTGGAGAATGGAGAGGGTTTTTGCTGAAACTGGACAACGGCTGAGTGATGGGGCAGGGTTTTTAGCTAGGGCGCGTGTTAGCGTCTGCAAACGATTTTTTTTGGTTCTTTTTTTAAAGAAAAAAGAAAATTTATAAGAAAACTAATAAAGGGTAACTAGCCGTACGATGAGAATAACTTATATGGTATGGTTACACTGTTATATGACGTTTTACGTTAATAAATAAAGATATGTAGACAAAATTTACATGTCTTATCTTACTTTATTGGCACGGGATGCTACCGTGCTAATGTAACTATGCCATGTACGTTCTCTGTGATAGGTCTATTACGAATTATTTTTACCGTACCATTTAGTACTACAATTTAATGGTATTCTTCTCCATTTATAATATATCTTTGTATAAAAACAAAAGTTTTGATGTACTAGTTGTAGTAGAACAAGTTGTAACCGTATTTTTCGCACAAAACACATATAAAATGTCTTAAATACCCCTATTCGTATACCATGTTAAACAACACGATCGACAATCAAGATTTTGCACTTGGAGTATCCAATGGACCCAAAGGTTGTCGATCATGTTGAGTATTATTCATAGGCATTTTAGATATTTATCGTGTGAAAATTCATGTTGATCATGTCGTGTCGGTCAAATGGACTTTCCCATAAAAATTTAAAATTATTCTATAACCTTTAATTTCCCAAATAAAAAAACCCCTCTTGAACAACGTAGTAGATTTGTGGTAGGGGAAAATAAATATGATTATGTTATCATAGTTTTCCACATTGGAATGTTATCATATTTTTCCACAAAGCCACGAGAGAGAACTTAATTGTTATGATTATGTTAAAATTAATGTAGGAATGTTAAAATTCTGACCCTCCCAAACTAATCTAGATATGTTAAACTTCGAACTAAAACAATAGAAAGGAAGATAATTAGTTACCCCTCAATGAAAACAAACCTCTCTTTAGGAGTTCTTAAATCATCTACTCGAAATATTTTAGAACATCATGCAGTACATCATATGTCATAATTTAAGTGAAGGATATTAAAAAGTATACATTAAAGTGAGACATTTTAAGCTCGTTATTCACTTATATTATAACACGTGTTGTACCACCTTATTATTAACTGTTCCCTTTTATTCTTTCTTCTTTTATGATACCGCTATTGAAGGAATGAGATTTATATTTTCGTCTACAAAACGATATTCTAAGCTACTTTAATTTTATGAGAAGGAGATTTGAACTTGGTACAAAAAGACGAGCACATTGATCTGACTAATTGGTTTAGCCACACATGCTATTTTTGGTAAAACAAAATTCAAAACTATTCTCATTTACGAAAATAAGAAGATTTAGTATTGGTTGGATTTAATACTCTCTAGAAAAAAGGATGAGTTGTCATGAGGAATAAGTCTTAAGGTTGAAAAAATGTGCTCACCCACCCACCATTGGCTGCCTTGCCATTGAACTGGTCAATGAGAATGGTCAAACAATGTGCTCCTCTAACCTTATTAAACTTAATCAGCATGTTTAGTAACAAGATTAATTCAGCAGGCTACAGTTTATCTCATTCCCATAGAACTTTTTGTGGGTTAAAGATTAAGTTTGTCTTCAGTATGTCCGACTTTTTATCCACTAGATTATTAGTTGAGGAAAAAATTAAAAAAGTCTTTCCCTAATTCATTCCTGACAGTTCATTTTTCGTACTGCTAAGTAGTTCTAACTACTGACGAAAATTATTAAAAACCATCTACAATATAAAACCAAAGTGAAAAAGTGCAATTAGAAAACGAGTGCTAGGTCAACTATGTAGGACAACTTAATACCGTGTTCTAATCTCCTCCGGTAAATTAAAGTAGTTTAGAACAAGAAATCACTGTCCAAATCTGACATGAAAGCATCTGAAAACGTACAATTGAAACTTGGGGAAATCTTACCTTAATTTTGACAAAGTTGACAAAAAAAAAAGCAATTATGAAAGACAGTACACATGGCCCCATCAAACCAGCATTATTAAAACAAAGCAAACCAATTGATTTATTAAAAGCACTTTTGCGTGGTGGTGGTCCAAAAAAGCATATCCACTCATGCTTTAAAGAGCAGTTGGGTTTCAAAGAGGAATACTACAGGGGTAAATGACCAAATTATATTCCAACAAGAACCAAGATTTTGAAATCCCTTTATGGTAAAACCGTAAAAACCTGCAAAAACTAGGGCTAAAAGAATAAGCCTATTGCATATTTTGAATTGGAAATCAATCATACAAGCATCTGCAATGTACAGGAGAGGACTGTCGAATGACACAGCTTTGAGCTGAATTCCAAGGAACCATATATGAGATCAAGCACGCTCAAAACATCGCCATGGTTCGTCGGTCAGCCAGAAAATTACACTCAAACCCCCAGGAAAAGAAAAATTGAATTAAAACAACACTCTGCACATAAACCCAAATTCAGCAGCACAACCAACCAAGCCAGGAAAAGAATGCCGAACCTACTTGTAGAAGTGTGATTAAAATGCCCTTTGGTACGTGTGTGTCCACATGTGAGCATAGCTTTTGATATGGATATGACGGATGTTTGCTAACTGGTTTTACACTTGTGTACTTGTAAGACATCTCCACTGCCTTACATGGGGACCCTTGTCTAGAAGCATAAGCAAACCCACATTGGCTGATAGCCCAAACATATGCCTGAAATTATGTTCAAAGTTATTAGAAAACGATAATATGGCCATAAACAACCAGAAATGCGAGAAAAAAAACCAGAGTGCCGTGGATATACATCATAGTGAAACTAGAATTATTTGTTTCAAATTATTCTTCTGCATAGCTTATAATTGTTGCTGTAAACAGTGCTTGTTGCCTAGACGGGTATGCCTTCGTCTTTTCCAAATTATAACATGCATTGGTTTTCATTTCGTCAACAAAATGATCGTGTCAGTTGTATACCAAAGGTAAAACTACTGATTTATATTTGTTCTGATAGAAAGAAGTATGAGCTACATACTTGCTTCGGCGCGCCCTCCTTCTCCAGAAAACAAAGGACATGATCCACTGAACACAACAATTAAACAGACAACTAGTGTTAATACATAATGGTCCATGGAAAAGATAATGTTGATAGCATTCTCTGGCTCAAACATAAGAATAAATGAAAATAATCAACCATGTAGCACTATTAGAAATTAAATTTCAATTGCCAATAGATGAAATCCAAAATTACCTTAAAAACAGACATGAAAGAAAAGCTTCTAACGGGAGATGGTTTCTTCACAATCATTTGTTTCTCTGGTGACATATCTTTACACAAATGTTGAGCTATTTCTTTAAGCAATACCAGTTGAGCTTTATCCGTTCGCATCGAAAGCATTGCCTGCCTCATTGACTCCCTGTCAGCCTCAAGTGCCTGAAGCCTCATATAGAGCTTCATGACATCAGGATCCTCAAAATCAGGCCCAGTCAGTCCCCTTGAAGTTACTCCCGATTTGACTTCTCTATAACCATTGCAAGGTGCTCCGTTATGAACAGAGTCAATGGTATAAATTCTGTCACTCGTGTCGTCTCCAACTTCTGATATATTATCAAACTTTCTTGTGTTTGGGTAGTCCTCAGACTGTGAGACATAGTCTGCCTTCCTGAAGCTGCTGTTATATCTAGGAGATTCAGCAAAATCTGGACCAGTTTCTTTAACCGTATACATAGGTGAATCACTTGAAAGTCTTCCGGAATGTCTTGACCGCCGAGGAGAATGGCCAACCACCACCTTTTCAAAAATGTTCTTGGAACCTGAAAAATCCCCTCCCATCGGACTGCTGCCCGGACTCCTCTCCATCTGATGGAGCCTGCTTTCCAAATTTCTCAAATGCTCTCTCCCACGAGGGGTCTCATCAAATGCATATTTCTCAATATCTGCATCATCATCGCACTCCAACGCACCTTGGGTCTCATTTATTTTACATTTCAAAGGTGGGTATTCATATGTGGGTGTTGTCGGAAGTTCATACTGGGCTTCAAAGTCACCCACACTCTGGATACGGCTAAAGGAACCATTCTCACCCTCTGCCTCAGACTCAGTGAGCCCATAACTCATCATTCTATGCTTATAGGCCTGCACTTCACACGTGAGTGCCTGAATCGCCTGTTCTCTCTTATACAGCAAATCTTCCAGTGCCAAAAGCTCCTGCTGGTCATGTGCCATCTTCTCCTCAACGAAACACTTGAATTGCCGGGCCTCCATCTGTATTTCAGCCTTCTCCCCCTGCAACCTCAATATCATTGACATAGCCTCATTGGCAGCGGATGATGAAGCATTCCTCTCCTCGTCCAGCTCAGTATACAAATCTTGTATCGTGTTCTGCTGGCTACTAAGCGTCTCACGTAGTGCAACACATTCGTTCTCCATTTGGACTCGTGCATTATAATAAAGTTCAATCCCGGGTATAAAGAAACGGTTACCATCCTCAAACTCGCCATACTTTCTCTTTACAGACCGAAGCCAAGTCCCCCCTGAAGAAACACTCGCCAACGAACAACTACATTCACAATTACAACATTTCACCGTCGGCCTTGAGGATGGAAATGCTTCTGAATCCATAGAGCAACGTGCATCCAAAATTCAACGAATTCAAGATCAGCGACCGTAAATTCGACTATTTGAACAAACCAACCATCTAAATATCAAAAATCTTATCCTGGAGCCGTCAAATCCTCTCTCTATGAATCCAAGACCTTCAACAATTTTCCCTCCTTCCTGCACTCCAATTACGAGCAATCGTCCCTCTCAGATCAACAATCCACACATAAAACTCCTAAAAAGCAAAATTTGCAACAATATTAAAACTAAAAATACCAAAATAAATTCTGTTTTGCCTTAATTAAAAAAAAAATTACCAAAAATGAATAGCTACCATCAAGCATGCATAAAAATTACACTTTCCCCAAAAATCTGGGAAGAAATTGAAAATTTACCTATTGGAGGATTAGGAAACTGAAGATACAAAATTTCCCGGAAAATTCCATTGAAATAAAAGAGTCGCAGAGAGAGAGAGAGAGAGATGGGGAGAGGGAGAATTACCTTGGACGAG